TCCTTACGAAGGATTAATAGCTCTTTTTTTCTGTTTTATCGTATATATACTATTCGTTCTGAGGTATAGATAATACAGTGTTTCCTACTAAATAAAAGGTTTAATCAAGTGATATAAATCGGAACTAAAGGACACGTTTGAAACTATCTTAAATATTATATTTTTGATTAGATTAAAATTGTTTGTTTGTTTTTCTTAATTTTATCGTCTCTTTAGCACTAGATATATCAAGATGAAACATCATGTTTTATTATCAAAAATTATTGCCAAAATTTTTATCTCAACTTTTTTGAAAAGGGTACCCAACAAAATTGTCAAAAAATTGTAGGGGTAGCCTGTAGGTAATGTTAATCGCTAAAAATTTTTTTTAATTCCCCCAGCCCCCTTAACCACATAATGGTTTCATAAATGATATATATGTTACTAGCACTCAGAAATATATTTTATTGGTGATATAGTTTATTCAATGTCAAAGCTTCTATATCTTTATAAAACATCTAAAAACTGTCACTGGAATTCGAAATCGTATTTAAGCGAATAATTATAATTTTTTTAAAATATATATGTTATATTAATATTGAATTTTTTTTTGTTACATAAATATTAGTTATATACATAAATTGTTAATATCTATCAAAGAGAACTGTGTACAATGAATTATTAGATTGCCTGTGCGAATAAAGTTAGCTTTCGTAAATTGAAATTGTAGGATTCAAAATTTAAAGCTATCAGAGACGGTATCGGGTTGTCAATTAAATAGTTTTTGTTGTTGTTGTTGTAGGCACAAGATTCTGAATGTATGTAAAAAAGTTTTTCTAATTTATACCCAATGTTTTGAAATCTATTGACGTAAATATTGCGATTTAAATGCTATTCTGTTATATTTAGTAAATGTTTTAAAAAAAAAGACTTTTAAATTGTTCAAAATAATTTTAGTAATTTTTCTAAAAAATTTTAAAATGATATTGTGTTTTTGCTTTTTACTTAATTATTTCATTTTATAAATAAATAAAATCTAATTGTGTATTTGCCGTCCTAAACTTTTATTTTAAATATACATATTATAAAAATGTTAAAAATTTTAAAAATTAAAGGTAATTAACTTCAAAATAAACGAGAGTAAAAAAATTACTCTTCAAATTCCAAATCAATAATATTGGTTTTACAAGTTACATACAATACACTAATACATATAACAGTTTAAAAGCACTTTCAATATAAGAATATTTATAAAAAAATTAATAGATATACAAAATAGAAAACAAATATTAACGATTACCATTATAAAAAATTCGTCCATTCAAAGCCCATACTTTATATTTAAAAAAAATATATACAAATTATAATTATAATTTCATATATTTTTATATGTAATTACAGATACTATTGATTTTTGGACATTTATTTAATTTGCAAAAATTTTAATTATTATTTTGCATATTACATCTAAAATTTTAATCAACTTTAGTTGTTAATTAAAATTTCAAATTTTAAAAACGATAACAGAAATGTTTTTAAAATGTTCTTGTTATCTTAAAGGTAAAAAATAAATAATTTTTTAATAAAAAATGTATCTTATAGTGTTTAAAAACTGTTAATAAATCGATCTTTTAAAAATATAAAAACTTTAATTAATTAAAAAAAATAATTTTGTTTTACAAAAAAAACTTTCAAAGAAATGTTGAAAATCTCATTTTGATTTTATTAAAAAAAAAATTCGAATAAAAGATAAAAAAAGCTTTAAACCAATTTTAAATAATATTTAGCAAAAGTAAGTAAATTTTTCTAAAATGATTCGTATGGAAATATTTATTATTAAAGGAATTCTTTTTGATCATATTCTCAGATTCCTTTTTACATTTTAACCTTTAATTAATAATGAGTTAAGGACGTATGCAAGTTAGGCTAAGTTGATGCTAAACCAAATGGGAAATTTTTTGCACTGCACACATTTAGCCATGTATCAACACGTATCGACACATCACTACATTATCGGCACAACTTAGAATTTCCTTCATTTAGAACGCAACTTAGCCTAACTCGCACACGTCCTAATCAATACTTATATTTATAAATTTTCTAATATCTAAATTAGATCTGTTGCAAACTGAGAACGTAACACAAATAAAATGCCAAATTACGCTCTTTACATAGAACAGCTTTGTGTGAAATCTGGTGAGAACACTAGTATCATAAGCAAAACCTCCTAAATGAGACAGTGTGAATGTGCTAATAGAATGTGTTTCAGTTGGAATGTTTCCAAATGAATATAACAATCAAATGAAATCCCATAACAAAAAGAGCTGTTAAAAAGCATTAGCAATAGCACTTCTTTGAACGTGTGCTCAATAATCCAACATTGCAAAAACGCATTCGAACCGACGTACCAAGATTATGAACTGTCCTGTTGTTTTATTATGGCCGTTTGCGAGTTAGACTAAATTGATAATAAATTGAGGGAAATAGTAAATTACATCAGTATGGCAGCAAATGTTGGTATTTACCAGAATTTCGAGTAGGGTATATTAGATAAAAATTAAGTAAATTAGGAGTTACCATTGTGAAAATTTTATAAGATGTTTTTAAATAAATAAATAAATTTCAAAACTTTCAACCAAAAATAATAAATAACTACAATAAATAAATAAATAAATATTTACATAAGTACAGTGCAAAAAATCCCTAGGAAATTTCAATTTACTTTACCTCAATTTACTTGAATTCGTACACGGCCATTATAACACAATTTGATTTTAGTTTTTTATAAGTCCGGCAACACTCATCTTAAAGAAAATGTGGATCACAACAAAAGCTGAAAATTCTATTGTGAACATCCCACAAATCAATATATTAATCATTTTATTGCAAGAAAAAGTTGTTGCGAAAATAATTGGTAGAAAGCTATAAAATATTAAAAGCAATTTAAAGTGCCAAAACGTAGAAATTTATTAACTATAATTAAAATAAATTAATATATAGTAAGCAATTAAAGTATGACTTCTCGAGTACCACAACTGCGATTAAGTGCCAGCGCGTTAAAATGTAAACAGGGCTGTGGCTTTTATGGAAATTCTCAATTCGAGGGACTTTGCTCAAAATGCTTTCGTGAACGTAACGACAAGAAGAAAAAACGTATGATCTTTCTTTATTAATTATTTACAATATATAGAATACTATAATATAATTTGATTTTGTTATTAGAAAATTTACTGTCGAGTTCAACAGCATTTAGAATCGATCCAAATTTACCAAAAACAAGTGATGGAAGTGTGAATAGCAGCCTTGTAGCTGGACGTTTATCTCCCAAAAATTTGCTAAATCGCTCGCCATCGAAAAAACAAGATGAAGCCACCAGTAGTAGTGGAACATCCAATAAAAAGAAATCATTAGTACCCTATAGTGCTATTATACAAAAAACACTACAATCAACAACGCAAAAAACTAGAAAACACAAAAATGAAGAACAACAGAGTAAGAAATTTATTTATTGATAATTATTTCATTAAAGAATTGATTCATGTAAGAATTATTATTATTTTTTTCTAAATAGCTGTTATTCAAGACAAACCGCATATACCGGACGCAACGGAGAAGCAATTTATTTTACAATTCAAACAGTTACGTGTTCCCGATGATGGAAAACGTGTGCTCAAAGATGAAGTACAACGATTAGATGGAACTATACGTAGTTATATGAATAGCAATGCCAATAAAAATGTTGAGGAACTTTCCGAATTGGTGCAAAATGCATATACAAAATTTGCTGATACTGTGCATAATAATCAGATATTTCAAATAGCTACCAATGAGGATCGTGAAAGTGCCATCGATTTTTTTGAAAAGGCTGTAATGACACAAAATCACAAGTAAACGTAAATGTTTTCAATTTTTAAGCCTTTAAATATATATTTTTTCGTATAGATTTTTGTTTAGTCCTTACTTTACGACAGATGAAGAAAAAGATGCTGAAATACAAAGGCGTATACGACAATTAAGTTGGATCACTGCAAAACATTTAGCTTGTAGTATCGATGAGGTAAACGCGGAATCTCGTGATTTGGTCTATAATGCAATAACAGGTAATGCATAAATCTAAGATAAACTTCAAATGCTGTAACGAATTTAAAATATTGTTTATTACAAAAAATTGTAGAGTTGGTCGGTATAGATTCGTACTATTCACCGCAGGAAAAACTTGAATGCACCGTACGTTGCTGCAGAAATATATTCGAACTTTTAAAGCACTCAGTTGGTGGACCTGCTAGTGCAGATGAGTTTCTGCCAGCACTCATTTTTGTTGTTTTAAAAGCCAATCCAGTAAGACTTCATAGCAATATTAACTTCGTAACACGATTTACAAACGCATCTCGTCTGATGAGTGGTGAAGGTGGTTATTATTTTACAAATTTAGTATGTATTTATATAATAATTTATAACGCTTATTTTGTTATATATAAAAGAAATTTGTTTTGCAGTGTTGTGCCATTTCTTTTATTGAAAATCTAACTGGTGAAAGTCTTAGTATACCTGAAGAAGAATTTAATTTACTTATGTCTGGGGATAAGCCATTTAGTACACCCTGGGAAAGTGCTTTATTGGCTTGTGAAAGCTTACATCTTATATCAGAAAATATGAAACGTATGGAGTCATTAAAGAAATGCAACAGTATTATATCATCAGGAATTGAAAATCTAAAGAATGAAATGGATAGTTTTCAAGTAAATATACATATTTAAAATAAAATACTTTAAATTAAACGATACAATTTTTAAGGTTGATATAACAGAAAAAGTTGACGCATTACTAGCAAGAGCGCCACTAACGATATTACCAATTAAAACTCCTAGCTTTCTTATAAACAAGGCAC